ATGTTTTAAAGCTTCATGTGTGTTACTTGGGACGTATTTTTACATTAATCATGAAATACCCTAGTTACGCAAATTGTTGTATTCATAAGATTATAAATATTACAATGATGAAAAACAATATTTTTAATGACATTTACTAAAAATTTGGTTTTTACTAATTGTAAAGCAATAAAAGGAACATTTTTAATAATATATAAACTTAAATTAAGTTCTACTCGACACTGTACTACAATTAATGCCAAAATGTGTAATGCAATATGATAATTTCTAATTTAAAAATAGTGTTTCGACCAAAAAGCTTTAAAAACAATGTTATATCACAAAAAGATATAAAACTAAACTACTTATGAAGATATAAAACGATAGAATAATCAAATACACTCGTATAAGATTATATAAAATTATATGTTATAACATCATAACAAAAAATCAACCATAACATAAAAACCGATCTAAAAAAAATTAAATAAATATAACTTGTCGAATACAAACGCATTTAAAAACAAATTTTTCTTATTTCTGTTTCCTCAGACTTTGAGACGATTCTTCTATAGACTCCAGCCATAATTGAAGTTCTTTGGTAGGCTCCGGCCTGCGTGTTTCCGGCTCGATCTCGGCAATTATTTCGTCTACCGGAACCTTCAATCCAGTTACAGTTTGTCTGCTCAATACAACGGCGCGAATAAAATTGTCCGTGAGACTGATGAACTGGTTTTCTATATAAAAATGTTTATCTTCCCAATAAATGAGCTGCAATAATGCAAATTGGATCGACTTGATTATCGCGCGTTAAAACGAAAAAGAAAAAGAAGAAGCAAAATATATATTGATCGTACCTTTGTCGTGACCTTGTACGGTGTAAAGATAGGAATCGCACGGCGATATCGTATAGTGGATGCACCTTGAACAGCACCGCCACCTCTTTTTAAGACAGCGCCGTAAATTCCTGATCTGTCATAAAAATAAAACCGCGCAAAATCCAACTCGCGTAAATACCGCGCGTTATTCATGTGCTTCAAGACCAAGTCAACATCCTGAGTGGTACAAATTCCTAAAACACAAGAGAAATCCATTTGCTATTATTATTATTATTATTATTATCATGACAGAGCAGACTAAATTTTCTTATAACCGAAGAATGTAGCTTTCCAGGTTTGATTGTTCCCGACCCGGAAAAAAATGTTATATATATGGACATATTTTATATAGAATTATATATAATTGTATATGTCAATTTTTTATATAATTATGTATAATTTTATATAATTATATATAATTATATATGAAACATTTTTTTCCGAGGAACTGTATACTATACTTGTATATGTATACATATGTCTATATCTTGTATAAGTATTTATCGTTTGAATATTTCTATTTTTAATAGTTAGTCACATTTCTCCAACTTAAATAAATTTTACTTACAGTAAAAAATTCTCATAACATTCTTAAAAATTTTTCATATTTTATGCAGATTTCTGAAAGAAAAATACCTTAAATTTCTTCAGATTTTATAAGCTTTCTACAAAAATTATACAAGGAGAAATGTTGGAAATCTTACAATCTCTTTCGAAATTCATTTTATAAAAAATTTTAGAAAAGAAACGTAGACTTTCAGCATTTCTAAAAAGCGCCCTTATAAAAGACTTAAGAAATTAAAAAAAAAATAGAATTATACAAAAATTCTAAAATTTATATTTATAAATATTCTAAAAAATTATATGAAAAATTCTACAAAATATTCTCTCCAGAGGAAAGAAGTTACATACATAAAGAAATAACTCATAGGCCTGTATTCAGAACGCGCTTACAATGATGTTAGTGCGCTAACATGCTATACTTTACGTCACGCATATTATAGAATTTCAGAGATAAAAGCACGCTTTTATCGATAAAAGTGCGTTCTGAATACGAGCCATGGAATTTGCAAATTATCACAAGAAACAATATATGTGTATGTAACTATTAAAAGTTTCTAAAAATGAATATACGATGTTCTACAGAATAAAGAAATACGCCGATGTACTACTGTACCATTCAATACAGTTATTTGCCGACCTACATAATGTAACTACGTAAATACGTTCACATGATAATGCAGCTGAATACATAAAACATAAAAACCTTATATGAAAACTATATGAAACCTATATGAAAACATAAAAACCTTATATATCAACATCATAAATAAGCGTGCACCAATTATAGTAAATTATGAATATGTAGTACGTCAAATAGAACTGCGTACGTATCAAAGGTTGAGAATGAAATCTGCATCAAAGATTGAGAATAAAATTTGCATTTTTAGATATGTTGTAATAAAAATATATACAAAATTTTATACTTCCAGACATGCAAAATATCTAAAAATGCAAGTTTTATTTTCACCCCCTTTGTGATGCAGATATAATAACAATATTATGACTTTGCACGATCTATATCTCGCTTTATGTACACTAAACAAATTATTTTATTTTCCGTAATTTCACTTCCTGATGCTTATATTGATAACATCACAAATTTAGTCATTTTCTTCTTGCGCAATATTTTTTTGTTCTTCCACTTATGTTATCACTTTTCAATGTCTTTGCAATTAAAATGCTTCATCTAATAAGGCACATAAACTGATTCGTTGTACAGATTTCATACAAGCAAATTAATAGGACAATTTATTCAATGTACGATGTAATTATGATCTAATGTGAGAATTTACCATAAATTGTTGTCGTATCGAAGAGTTTCTTCTTCTTCTCGAAAAATCTGCCCCAAAGGATAGTGAGGATAATTCTCATAAAGTAATTTACGTCAAATAGAATGTAGAGGATGGCGATCATCGCCACGCAACAAGAACAAAACATTGTCAATTTTCTATCGGCGTATCTCTCGCTATCTCAACAACTGCACGAAAATAACGTCGACTCGATGTACGTCTTTTCACGGTCGATGGAAGACTGACCGTTATGATTCTGACTTGTCCGCGCGTCTGCGGTCTCCGGAAAACCGGTTTCACAAGCGTTAAAGAAAGACGCTTTAATATTCTGTTACGCTGTGAGTGACCGAAAAATTACAGCCGAAATTAAAATTGCAAATTTGTAAATATACAGATTTTGTTATAATAGAACCTCATGCATAAATCACGTTTATTGTGTTAGAAGAAAAATTATATTAATCACTTTGTATAGATAAATCGCTTTGTATAGATAAATTAATTTAATTTGTTTTTCCTCTATTTATTTGAAATTTTAAATATTTCTTTTAACGTACGTAAAGTCAATTCTGACAAACGGGAAAATCTTTCATGTATTTTTCCTCTTACAATTTAAATTTTAATACCGTATTTTACTGACTAATCTTAAATAAATCAAGATTGAATTGGAAAAGTAAAAGTGAAATTTAATAATCCTTTATTTTTTATAAAATTCTGTTAATTTTTATCAAATATTAGATAAGATACCACAGAGGAAATTAACAGCTATATACAAATAAAATAGACTACCATTAGTGTCAATAAATCAGTGACCTTGTTGATCAGCGAATTATTTATGCTCACGTATGCGCATATCCAATCAGTTACAAAACGAAGTCTGCATTCATTATGTATAAGCAAAGAGTAAAGTAAAATATCATGGCTTCTTCAGAAAAAAGAAAAATTATTATAAAATACGTGTTCATAATTTAATAGATAGATATATTTCTTCCAATGTGTGAAGGCACCTAATATACTAGTTAAATACACAGGCATCCATTGTTACAATAAATGTAAATATTTAGTATGTTGCATTTAATATTAATATTTGTTATTTCCCTGCCGTATTCATAATCGATTTTATGTTATGTAGAAAAAAATTTTAATGTATAACATGTAACAATATATTTAATCAGCTATAGTTACTAATAGCATGTTAAAAGAGAGTATTCTATATTTTTATATACAATAGTAACATTCATTTCAGTGCACATAAAAAATCCAGAGATGGACGCGTTATTTGCCATTCCTGGAAAAATATATCTTGCTTCTAATTTTGAGGTATTCTTCTTTTATCATTTAATGCAAAAATATTAAATGTATACAGTTACACAATTTTCTTAATGTGCACTATATGCCAAATTTCAATTAATTCGGCATTTTAACATAACACATCATACATTAATTTTTTAAGCTCAGACATAAATAATCCCAGCTATGAACGCTAAATATTCCATGAAGGATTCCATTGAAAAGACTCCTAAAATCCCAAAAAAGAACATTTCAAAAATATACCGAAATATCTACGGAATGTAAAAATAACATCCAAATATCGGTTAAAAATTTCATTTATATGTACATATATCATTATTTCAGAAATTCCGGTCCGGTCGTCCCTAACTCACCTTTTAAACAAAATTTTATTATGAAGAAGGTGTTTCATGTGCTTTTACCAATTTTGGGAGTCACTTCACAAACGAAATACTGCGCTCTTTATATTCTCTCTCAGGTAATTCGTATTTACGAGTAAATGCTCTCTGTCGCGGCCCCCTCTGTCGGCGAAGATGTGTATTCCTTATATAATATATACAAGGAGTATTCATACAATATTTTAAACATTTCATCAACATTTACACATACCGTGACGATTCTTTTACTGTTCCAGAATATTCAGCATATTGGGAATATGAATCGAACTTTTTATGAATATTTAGCGTTAGATGGGAAATATTATACAGCCCTATTCGAAAATATTAGGCATCATAATTAACCATTATTTAAAGTTAGAGTTTAATTGATTTTAATTAATTTTTATGATATTTGCTATAAATTATTCTTTGTTTTAAGTATCCTTTAAATTTATATATAATATCAATAACCAGTAGATAACAATGTAGATAGAAGAAATCCAGACAAAAATTGTAAATGCCTAATATTTTTATCAAAGCTGTATAATTATAAAATACGAAAGTAACAAAAAATTATTACATTTTTCTTTAAAAAATTTTTTTTTAATTTATGAAGCATGTTCGGAAAGTAAGGTTACAACATGTCTATAGTTCAGAGAAAAATTTTTTGTTTCAAAGTTGGCACACCTGCTTGGAGGGAAGGTCCCAGTGAAGAGAACAAGCGGCGGAGGGGGTCAGTAGCTTGACTGGTTGCGTCAGAATCGTGTCATAACATGAATCTGGCAATTCCCGATCTCGCCAAGTATGAAGTGCGAGCCGTCATCCGATATCTCGTTATCGTTAAAAATGAAAAGCCCGTTAGATTCATTGTCAGATTCATGTTAATTGTTATGACACGATTCTGACGCAACCAGTCAAGCTACTGACCCCCTCCATCGCTTGTTCTTTTCACTGGGATCTCCCCTCCAAACAGATGTGCCAACTTTGAAACGAAAAACTTCCCTCTGAGCTACAGACACGTTGTAACCTTATTTTCCGAACATACCTCGTACTTATAATCATTTTCTTTTTCTAAGAATTTGACCAATCTATGTTTTAATAAAAAGAGGAAGAAATAATCGCTTACTGCAATTAGATTAATTATTCTTATCCCTGATTACAGAATACCAGGCTTGCAGTAGGTCATTATTAATCATTTATTTTGTCGTAAGGCCGCGCTAATTTCCACTTCTCAAAGACAATTAAATACATAAGTAGCGAGAATCTTTAATCAATCTTGTTACGGAATTTCCCCCAGAACAACACCCATCATCCGGCAATTAAGGATAAAAATAAAGACTACATTCCGCTTGTTACACAGTCGTGGTTGTGTATATCGGTGCTAAAACGCCGCTGGACGTCGCGGCGTCCGTTTGTCAGCAACGCGTCGTTATCGTGATCGGTTCCTGTCTCAACATCGCTGATGATATTTCGTTACTTTCCATCCACCTGCTCACTTCGGGTGGCATCTCTGGTCGCACAGGAGATACCTAATGACACATACCATTTACCTTAGAGAGATAAAAAGAAATAATCTCTCGCTGCGATTTATTATACATGTTAATTGTTCTTGTTCTCGATTATGGAATATCAGGCTTTGAAACAATATCATTTTTACTTTTTTTTTAAATTTGCATATTCTACAGATAAAAATGAAACACGTATTTCGCAAAAAAAATGAGATTTTTTTTGTGAAACTATTTACGCTCGTATAAATTATAAAAAACGTTATTCATGCGAACATTCAAATTATTATATCATCGAAATCATTAATCGTACAAAAAAAATACAAGAGACCAATTTTAAAGATCTTAAATTGTTCTATAGATGAATTATTTTTAATTTATCATTTTCATATAAATAAATTTGTCATTCATTTACAATTTTTATTAATTAAATTAAACTAACTTTATTAAATTTTGTAAAAGTATTATCATATTCTCATTTCAATTATGAAGTAATCCTGAAAATTACAAAATGGAACTCTAATGGAATATATAATTAAAAAATTCTGTTGTGTAACGGCGTGGTTCCGTATACGTATGCGTCAAAATATAGACTATAAGAGCTGTTTTCAAAATTTTTGTAAATGAATGCGATCTACTTTATGATTTTATAATGAAATTATATAGTCATATATATAACAAAATTTATTTGGTGCATTTATAAAAGGTACATGGGAAAAATTCGCCATATCTTTTTAATTTTTAAAAAACAAATCTTTTTGACACAAAAATAACGTGTGTTACGACTTTTTGAATATAAGACATGAAAAACAGAGTCAACATAGAAGCATAAAGTGTAAGTCTTATCAATATTACCAAAACCTTAACCAAAGTCTTCATTTCGTAACATTATAATCAACATGTACGTTTTCTATTGTAATAAACAGTCTTGACAGCAATCGTTTAAAATTCTTGCAGCGTTCTCCAAATATATGATCGCAATTAATTCCTACCTGCATTACACCTGCTTCAACATTTCCATTCTGCTTCACCCTACGATTCAGTAGGGCGCCAATAACAGTATCGGCGCTACAATTTAGAAGTCTTTGCCTGCAAATCGCGATTGCCCTTATAAAGCCATCGCTCGGCGTGATAAATCGATGCTCCATGAAAAAACTCCTCTCATCCCAATAAACGATCTAAGAAAAAAAATAAAATTATATTACTTAAGCTTATGTATTTGATCGGTCGGTTCTTTGTAACTAACTTGCATGATTTGTCTTTTCTTTTTTTTTTTCTCTAATGGAAAGTGAAAGAAAGGAAAGTCAAATCATTTAAAAAATTCAGATAAAAAGAACAGACAACATATAAAAAACGAGACATAAGACATCTTAAAGATGTCCAAAAGATGTCTTAGGATATTTAAAAAAAAGAGACGTCTTAAAGACATTTTTAAAACGTCTTATGTTCCGATTTTGTTGTCTGGATAGCTAAAATCGATAAAAAATCGGTGAATTCGATGAATTATATTAACCTTGTGAAAGAAACTGTTTTAACAATTTTTTTCACAAGGCTAATATAATTCATCGAATTCACCGATTTTTTAACTTTGCATCATAAAGTCTCCATTTCATTCACAAGAATAGACACTGTTTTTCTGCATTAGAGTGTTAAACTATCAGTTAATTGAGAATTAAATCGAAACACAATTATTACCATAGTAATCTTGGCCCGTATTCAGTAGCGCGTTAACCTATGGGTTTTTGGGGCTTGAGCCCTAAGACGCCGAAGTGGCAGGGGCGTGGGCGCCTGGAGATACCACAATTTAAAAAATGAAAAGAATTAAGTTATTCAAACAAGTGCATTTTTAGCCTGAAAAAAATGTTTCATGTATAATTATATATAATTAGATAAGAAATTGAAATATTTTATATACAATTATATATTATTATACATATATCAAATATGTCCATATATAACATTCTTTTCCCAGATAATTTTGCGATTTTGTAATATCGTCGAATAATCGATAAATAGCAACTATCGTTATTAAGTGTGTACTTGATGTATGCACTTTCATATAATAACAATTTAATAATGATGTTACAATTTTTAATGAACAAATAATCAGATTTGGGCTCTTGAGATATTAAAACAATATTAAACAAAAAAGATGGGCAATTAAGAGCCTTAAAGCGCGATAGTTAGTGCGATTGTATTTTCAAATAGAGTTCTATTCTTACATCTGGAGACACAGTAGTGTCTCGGCGCTAAGCCAAATGCATCGAGGCACTGCCGTGCCTCCTTTACACGAGCCGGCGAGTTGCGGGAGACTGAGACTATCTCAATAACGGCTGAACTGATCAAGTTCTATATACGCTCAATTGATAGTCACCACTTTGATTGTATAATAAAAGTGCTTTTATTTTTTTTCTACGTGCCCTACAAGCGGAGATATTGCGATATAAAGTCCTAAATGTTTGAATTTTATCTGAATTTTAAGATACGTTGTTATTATCGTCATCGTCGACCAGGGGAAATGTACGTTTCGTTTTTTCGATAATATATGGCTTTTGACTTTATGTCATCTATCTACATATATATACCAACAGACTAACGTTGCATGGGAACCGTTGTATATACGATGTGACGCGCGCGGGGCGCAAATTATTAAAATGAAATATCGAGATTACCGTTGAGGAACTGTGTGTCTATCTAGTCTAGGTATTTATCGCGTCGAGGAAGTGTGTGTCTAGGTGTTCGCCATCGAGGAAATGAGTGTCTAGGTATTTGCAGTCGAGGACATGGGCGTGTAAGTGTTCGCCGTCGAGGAAGTTGGTGTCTAGGTGTAAGACATGCAACCACAATAGCGGATCGCTTCGGATTGGTTACGCGATCATACGATACGTGGCAAATACGTTTCATGGGACTTCAGCATTAGGATCTCTAACTCGTAACTTGCGTCAACCAATCAAATCATATCAAATTGTATCAGCTACTACGCGTTAGTCTAGTTGAGATGATTTGATTGGTCTTTGTATTCCTATTGAAGGATCTTCCTATTTTGATCCAAATGACTTTAATTCTTCTTATATGAAATTTTTATATTGCAATTCATTCAAAGATATTTTTCTTTCCAACCAAAGTAGTAGTTACAAAATTTTATCGTTCGTATCTGTAAGAGATTACCTTTTTAAAAAAAGGTAAAAACGGCGCTAAGCATATACGTGCTTCTCCAATAGAACCTAAGTGATACGTATCTTTTTATTATTCTAACTCAAGTAATAGCAGTTTTAATTCTTTTTCAAAAATATCCTTATTGAAGGTCCTCTTATTTCAATCCAAGTAATGGCAGTTTTAATTCTCTGTCAAAAATTATTACTCCTCGAAAAAAACTAATGTACGAAATTAAAAATTAAAACCTAAATTATATAGTCTTAATTAACCAAGTTAAATTCTATAAAACGAAAAAATTTAATTTAAATAAAAAATTTTTTCTAAATAGAATTTTTCTAAATAGAAAATGTAAAGACACTTGGCGGTGCTAAATCGAATATGACAAACTGTAAGACTAAAAAAATAGAGGTAATCCATGTACGGGTAATGAAACATTACTGAAAAAAAAAGTCATTAGAAATGTTGTCGTTATTGGGGTGAGAGAGAGGCGCTCACAAAGATCACAAGCCTCTGGGCGCAACTTTTCTTAACGCGGCCCTGCCCGTATTTGATTTGCGTAAATGTATACAACCGCCACTCGTGCATTTATTTGGTACCTTGATATACAACCTTGTCTCTTGCAATACATAGTTGAATGCGTCTGTTAAGAACATTAAGGACAAACATCTCCATAAGAAGAACCGCCATGAGTTTCGAGACTGTGCGTCATACGATCGCGTGGTGCATTGCAATTACGAAATCAAATGGCGTTTACTTTAGGATCATGAATACCTTGAAAAAAAAATAACTGACGCGTCTATTGACGCTATTCGCATCCGGTATATGCAACGTTTCAATCCTCTTGTGGCAGACTAATGTAATGTGTGCGGCTGATACTTTGTATAAAAGATGTTATTCTCGAGAAAAACAACCTAAATTCGACAAGATGGTTTTACAAATGTCAGTGATACACGTGGTAGTTATTTAAACGTTAGCAATGAAAGCGCATGCCTCGAAATGTAATTCTTTATTATAAAAAATTCTTAATCTATTAATTATTATTATAACAAATATACTACAAACTCTTTTAATGAACCGATGTTTTTTTTCTGTGTTCGCGTAAGTAAGAATTTTTTCTCTTCACCTGTGAAAGAATGTTACGCGTACTCAAATTTAATTTTCTTGAATTACCTTAGATGTTATTTTAAAAATCGTTAGCGGCTTGATGAAACGCCTGTAACGTATAGTGGCAGCTCCTTGGACAACACCTGATCCTTGAGAACAAACTTCTCGGTAGAGATCGGTCCTTTCGTAAAAGTCGACCCTCGCAAAATCGAGCTCACGAAGATACCTCGCATTATTCATATGATATAAAAGCGCGTCCACATCATTGGTAGTGCAAATGCCTGCAAAAAATATTGTAAGATAATTATACACTAAAATAATTTTTTAATCTATAACATAAATATGGTAGAGAGCGTCAAGGATCGGTTAAAGTTAGATGTTTCGAATAATATAATATTCTTGGATTCATGAATTTAATTTATCTCAGATATTACTGTGCTTTCTCGCAATAAAAGTTTCTTATTTGAAATAGAGGGATTATATATATACGCGAATGACCGAATGTTTCGGCTCGCGATTATTAGCATCAGATTGATTGTATTTAAATGTCCGAACGTTTCGGCGCACAGTCACATCTGAGATAAATTAAATTCATGAATCCAAGAATATTATATTATTCGAAACATCTAACTTTAATCGATCCTTGGTGTTCTCTACCATATTTATGTTATACATAAATAATTCGGCTGGACTTTATTTGAATCTGATTTAAAAACGTCTATTACATTGCGAACTACTATTTTATTTGCTGCTGATGATTACAATAGTTGAACGATTAAGATGTAAATGCGTGTTATGTAAAAGTAATAAAAACGCGTTTATGTTATATGTATAATGTGCGATATAATTATAGATTTGTGGTACAAATACAAATGTAATAGTTAAAATTCAATGGTTAGAAAATTCGATGATTAGAATGATTACGATTCAAAGCTTCACACACTTAAAGATATACTGTAGGATACTGTAGGTATTAAACATCGAACATTTCTCACATTCAAAAGGCAGGAAATTCAGTTCCTCGATGTTTCATACATATTCAAACTGTATATAAAACTGTATTTCTATACAATTGATTGAAATCAGACATTGTTACGTTACATAATGACATTATACATACAATGAAATATGATGATTTTAAGACATAGTTGATTTTAACTTTGGATGAAGTTAAAAGAATTAAGGACGCGTAACTGCGGCCGAGTACTTGCTTATAAGTATGTATATAAGTATATACGACTAATCGGTCATTGCATTCGCTGAAAAGCTACACATGAATCGTATTATGAGCAACGTAAATGTAAATAAAATCAAATACTAGTAGTTATCCATACAGTGACCATACGTTATTTATTGTAAAGTCCAATCCTTTATTTTAGGTAGCTATATCTTGGATTTTATTTATCTTTTCAAAGATTTTATTCTTTATTTTAATAATACAAGTTAAAAAGAGAAAAGCACTACAGAAATAAAATCAGTAAATAAAATTTCAATTTGTCAATCATAGCCAAACACAAGGTGAACGTGTGTAATTAAAATTAATGTAAAATAACAATTATAGATGACGATTATTTGACGACGACTCTGTACTGAACCCTATTTTGTATATTCTAATTTCTTTATTAATATTTAGAAGGATATGAAATCGTCAAATCGAAATCCATAATTGTTGTTTTACATTAATAAAATTTAATTACACACGTTTACTTTGAGTTTGGCCTTGATTGGCAATTCTGTTAACTAATTTTATTTTAATAATATTACAAAATTCCTTTTTCTAATTAGCATTTTAATGTGTAATGTATTAACGAGCGAATTCTTACGATACTTATTGACAAATTTAGTTTTATGTAAAAGCAATATTAGCCCAAACAAAATAACAAATCGTCGCAATGACGTCAAAATGAGTTGTAGTTGATTAAAACGTAACTTTTAATAATCAGATTTGCAGCTATTTTGATATTATTTTGATATTATGACGACTTGTGCTTTACTTGAGAGTTATACTGTACAAAAACATTTCAGAAATTAATGCGCAAGTGCGCGTTACTTCTGACAATCACAAACTAGTTTGAAAATATTTAGGAATAAAGTCCTAAAATTTTTCAAATTTATAATTTTTTATTTTTTCTAAGAAAATATGGTCTCCGTAACTATCTGCTAGAAAAAGTAACATAAATTTAAAAAGAATACTTTTCTCATAAGGAAGAAATTTAAAATTGGTATTTTGAGTTACTCAAGCGCGTTATTGCGCAATCAATGTTCCGGATTCGTGACATTCCACCTACCAACTAATTCCGCATATTATAGGTCAAGGTAGTAGATAACCGAAAGGAATCGTAAGGATTCCTAGATTATATCGTAACGACAAAACGATACGTGTGACGACTCTTCAATGTAATAGTCTTTTAACATCTTGTTAATTAATGTTAAATCGTCACGGTCGTTTAAAATTATTGATAGAATACAAATTTCTGGTGTATTTAATTTTATAGACGTTGTTAATTAAATCTTTTTGTTAAAATAGCCGAAATTGTAAGGATTATATCATAACGACAAAACGACGTGTGTGATAACTCTTCAACATAATCACCTTTTAATGTTGCATTACTGTAGTTGCATTGGAAATTGTTGGACAAATTAAATTGTCTATATATTCTCAATTTTATAAACATGATTAATTATATCGTTGCTAAAATAACTAAAATTGTTAAAATTATATCGTAATGATAAAACGATGTATGTGATGGCTCTTCAACATAATCACCTTTTAATACCTCGTTAATTAATGTAAAATTGCTGCGATCGTGTTGGAATTTATTGAACAAAATTGCCTATGTATTTAGGTTGCGTTCGGAAACATCACCCGAGTGCCTCTATGTATCGTTTTATCCTTATTGTTCACCCAATGTTAAATAAGGATAAGATGATACACGAGGCACCCGGGTGATGTTTCCGAACGCAGCCTTAATTTTATAGGTATAGTTAATTAAATGTTGTGTAGAATAATCGCCAAAGAAAGAGAGAGAGAGAGAGAGAGAGAGCTGCAAGGATTTCATATAGAATACAATATAAAAATATTTTTTCATGTTTCTGACATTAATATCATTCAAATGTGCATATTTTCAAAAAGAATTCTTATTCTTCAATAAAAAGGTTAGGTATAGTGAAAATTAGATAAATCTGTATTAATTATTTTACGGTATTTATTATATAGTGGTTCTAAAGAATAAAAATGAATTTTAATTAATAGCGTAATTCATGTGAGATTGCGATTAAACATATATTTTCTAAATACTAATACATTTTCTAAAAACTAATGCTAATAAGACATATCGATGGATTTCATCAATTAAAATTCAGCGTATATTTCTCACGTACCGTAGATCACGGTTTCATCAAGGATGTGCACCCTTTTTTTGCAATAACGCGCGAGGAAGACGGTGAGGAACATGCGTAGAAAATAATGAAATTCGATGAGGCCGTAAATGAGCACGATGGTTACGAAGATTCCGACCAGGACCCAACAAGTCATCATCCTCGCGCCGCACGGTTGCTGCTCCACAAAAATCAATCCGGCGACAAGCCGGACGCTCTCCGGTCGGACGTGGCTAGACTCTTGGATATCTTCCACCGCCGCAACACCACTCGCACCGGTTTATCGATTCGTCTGGGCAGTCGACGGTGTTCCTCGTCCCATCAATAAGAATGCAGGTTGCGCTCGCACCATTTCGAAAGACCGCGGACGAATTGCAGCGACGTCAATAGATTCATCTTAAAATGTTGGATTATGTCATTCTGACGAGCCTTGTATTGATAGAAATTAAAATCTGGACTCAAACTTGATTTCCGGCGTCCGAGGGTCAGGGTTTTTAAACTAAGGTTTAGCAATCACGAACGATTCATACTTTACATTACAGTAAAAGCTAATAATATCTTCGTTCATAATCATACACTCTCTCGAGTGTAACGAATTTTATTACGGCACGCGTGTTGCAAATATTAAATATTAAAATTGCAGCTTGACAGACACACACACACACATACATCGACGTTAAATAAATAGTTAATAGTAATTTTATTGACAACTGACAGCTGACTATCAACGATCTCTCCCACAAAATTCATATCAAAATAAATTAATAAAATATAATGCCGACAATGTTAATAATTATTTAATAAAACAATTTTGTCAAAAATTTCAAAGAACGATGAAAATCAGCATAATGAAAAACAATGTTAATGTCAGACGTATGAGTTGCGTTCAGAGAGTGCGTTATCAGCACTATTGTATCTCATGTTATCTTTATCGTTTTTAGATGTAAAATAAAGACAGAATGACGTGATAGGGCTAATAATATACTCTCCCTAAAAATGGCCTGACACAAAACAAAATTAATTAATGATAAAATGAAAGGAAATAATCCGCGCATGCTTTATAACCTTGTTCATGACATAAAAAAGCAGGTATAACATTGTGCATATATCAATAGCATACTAAAACAGCTAATTAAAAAAAGAGCCTAAATTTATTATAGGTATTCTGCATTGATAGAAACACTACACGTATCTTAATGTACTGCTTTAACCTTGCCGATTTGAAGGTAAGCGAAAAACGAGTCAGAGAACCGGTTCCTATACTTCCTACCCATCCAGCATACTTTATCCGAGGGATGTCCGGGGAGCATTTATAGGATGCAAGGATATCCTTTCGACGTTTTTAAGACGTCTCTTGGAAGCCTATGCTATATGGATATAAGATTTGTATCTATTTCAAATAAAATTCTTTTGAAATCACCAATTATTTTATTCGCAACTCATTTGTTGTAAATTCGTAACATTATCGTGAAAAATTTCTGAAAATTTCTAGTCTTGTAAAAAAGACGATTCATTCTGTCGAAAGATAATACATAATACATAATACATATAGCGTGTATGCGTAACGTTTACCTTGTTCAAATAAGGGAAGAGAAACTGAATCGAGTACGATTAGCGTCGGTATGCTAACCGATTATTTCCACTGACTGGCAAAAGAATCGGCAAAAAATCGAACAAGATAAAGCAATAGACTTTTGCACCGCATACAGCCCCGCTTTCGATACTTTCGCGTTTACTGTCACATTATCAGGCGGAACACGTTCTCCCTGACCCATCGTGCCGCAATTGTATTGTTCTCTTCCCAAAAATTTAGCGTCTACTTACAAAGTCCATCTTTTTATGTAATACGCACAATGTCACTTTCCTTGACGTATCTCATTCGATTAACACTTACAAGATCTCCGATGAACCTTCGGTAGATTTTGCTAATAGTGCCGCCGATCCGACAAAATCTTCCGAAGACGAGGCCCGGGCCCAGTACCAAACGGAGGAATACGCGGAATAAGATTCGCACACCGGTACGCACCACGTCCGATGATGAAGTCTTATCCCGCCGATGACATCTCGTACACTGATGACGACGTCCTCGACTGGCGGCCGTTGCCGAGAGATGTCCCTTCCCAAAAGCCGCATCTGCGCCGAGGACATCCAACTAGGAAGTCCGACCTTGGGTGGGAGGTTCAGAGCGGCTAAAAAAACTTTGACATCATGGCTAACAAGTTAAAATTTAATACATGATTGATCCCGTCCAAGCCGCGAATAAAATAAAAAGGCCAAATCAAAGTCTTTAATTAAAAGGGGTGAGATCATACTGCTAGATCTGCGCATCGATGATCGATCCAATAATCGCACGCGCAATAAGGATCATAAAAAAATTAAACAAATATATGTTATCGGCATTGATGTTTTAATAATAAAAATTTTCTTTAATTACTTACTGTTTAAATTCTCTTTAAAGATTCTCAGCTCACTAAAGATCTTCAGATTAATGACGTTAGAATAAAACACAATGAAAATTCTTGCAAAATATAATAAAATAAAAATATTTTTAGTAAAACAATATTTGCATTTAATAGAACACGCTCATAAAATATACTGAAAAGTTTTCTTTTATTTCGAAATAGAATAAAATCTATTTATTCTAATTGAACAGCTTTCACATAGCTCGTTTCTGATTAGGCATGGTCCTATTTAAAAAATATATGATTATTTATTGATATTATCGAAACACAGGAGAGTTATCGATATATTTTACAAATCTATTCTACCGATTACAAATATTTTATTAAACAATATTCACATCTTAATATAATCTTTATTTACAATAAATGTAAGCTGCAATTTTTATATTTCTATATAAATAAATATTAATAAATTTTATAAGAATTTTTATTTGTTTTTTTTTTCTTTGACATCAAAATCTGAAGTAAAATAGTAAGTAAACAAGCCTTATCAGATTGAATTTATGAATAAGATCATGCCTTATATGCATGAAAAATCGTTAAATTTGCTATTAAAAATAATTATTATATTAGTTTTATAGACAATTATAAAATTTATCGTTTAAAGACCATATCTGTCAGCTTCAGCGTTGATTTTAATGCCGCTTCCGTCAATATCCTTGAAAAGTTCGATGTAGCAAGATTATCACTATAGGCAATATTATCGATGAAATGCAAAGCTTTGCGGAATCGCACGCCGTTCCCTGTTTGACGAGGGAAGTGATGTTTGCATTGTTTCTTAGTAAATGCGTTAATACTACAAAAGATAAGAAAATACGTTCTGAAATCGGATGTGAAGAACAATGGAATTGCATAACAGTAATATATGTATCATAAAAATAGAGTCGTATATCTATTTCCTCTCCGTTTTACATTAAAATCAATGATTTATTAAAAAAAAATCACTCTTTCTGTTATCTTTGCTTTACAATCAGAGTGACGTATCTATATAATATAACTTGAAAACTTTCCGCTAGTCCGCGTATTTTTTTTATAAATAAAACATACATATGTATACGTATATAGACAAGACGCATTATCCAACGTGCGTATGATAGGCGTAATTACTGTATATATATCATGATTTGATTAACAGCCATTTGAAGGCTGAGCATGTACGGACAACGCTAATATTACGTTTCGGTCCTTGCATTGAGGAAGCGCTTTCGTGCTGATGTTTTATGGAAAACGCGTCCGAAGCGACGGACACGAATTCGTCGCGAAATCGAGACTGAGGAAGAAGTCATGCACTATACGATAATTCTCTAACAATTCCTCACTTCCTTGCTTTTTCTCCCATACATAAATAATCATATACCATATACAATCTCGATTGAGTCATTAAAGATAATACCTACGGATATAAATAATAAAATAATTGAATAGCTAAGTCGAAGGCTAACTCGTACCATTTGTGATCTCAAAGTCTTTGACTCTAAAAGTTTCAAAGTAAATGTTTATAAAAAATTGATATTTAATACTTCATTATTTTGTAAAAATACATGTAAATAAATATACAAACACAGATGCAAAAATATTACTTCACTGAAGAAACAAAAAAGAAGACCCTAATGTCATCAGCTGAAAAATTACACTCTGCCTAAAGAGGTCAGAAATTCGCAGACGAAAGGACTGTCACTCGATTCGTATCGACACAATGGAAGATCGTATGGAATCGGAAATACCGGGACAGCTGGATCCTCTTCGTCTTCAATAGGAAATGTTGTTGTCCCAGTCTGAATACAAACGACGTTCAGATGTAATAATTAATTGATTAAAACATGCGTCTTTAGTACATTTCTGTAATACATATTCATAACATTTAACATGTCATAAACTATTAAATAATATAATGCTTACAATAAGTTTTGGTATGAATATAACGCCAGCTTCATAGCTCATTATGTAATGATTATTTCGTTGGACTCCCCATGCAGCTTTACTTAGATTCGCACTGGTAAGTACAAACCAGGAAATGCTTTTCAAATCGGGCGAAATCCTTGTGTAGGATTTAATATGAGGCATCGCACGATCTCGCGCTGTTCGCTTGGCTTTCCATTGGCTATAGAAATAAATATCAAATTCTGTAAGAAAAAAAAGGATCGCTTCTAAGAAATAAAGATGAATAAAGTAATAATAAAACGACTGTAACTTACTACAAGTATGATTCTATCCACTGTTGTTTAGAATGTACTTTTGCACTGTAGGGCAAACAGCAAGATAAATTTCGACAATCAAAGCTTTGCTTGTAATTCTCTATCGAAGGGTAAATAAACTGAAAGTGCGGATGACTCTTTAAACCCTTTGTAGTCTCCCTCGACATACACGGAATTATATCTTTTGACAACCAGCTTTCGAAATTTGGTCCAAGGCTGCCTATGCTGGAACTCTGTGCAACTATAGGCCACTGAGGAGCATCTGGTGGCAATGTAGCATAACGCGATAGAACGTGCGCCAATTTCTTATACCCCCAAGAATCGGCTTCGTTATCTTTGTGAGTCCCAGGAACAGAAGCAACGAGGAACACGTTCACATCAGAAAAATTAGCCCTCCGTACCGCACATATCCACTGTGTCAACGCTGAATGTCTGTATTTATTCAAATATCGTTCGAGATCCTTTTTAAACCCTGTTGGAGATTCCCCATCACTAGGATTTGCAGATTCTGGTAGCCGGGGCAAATGAGGCGATATCCACAATCTAATCAAGATACAATAAAAAGATTATTATAGACAAACATCATATTAATAAATAAAGAATATCTAAGAATGTTTAATAGACCCTTGTGTCCTATTTTCCCAGTCGTCGGAATACAAGTTAGCAGTGGAGACAACCACCCTGATCCCATCATCTTTATATTGCAGGATCATGATCTTCGTGTGATGACAACCAAACTTGGTCGGCATGTCTACTTCTATCATAGTAATGTTGTTACTCAATTTCTCATGATCCACTCTATCACCGTACAGAATCATCATATCAGTACGTTGACCAGCCAACAAATACTGCAAGCACAACCATCCGACGTCTACCATAAAATTTAAATGAAGACTATTAACAATTTCTCCAAGACTACGGTCGAGAATCTCAGGGAATGTTATGGAAAACTGTTGATTATAAGTCTCCTTTGAATTTTCGATTCTCGTGAAGAATAAGTGGTAAGGCGCTGA